CAAAGAACCACTAAACAATAAACACTATATAGTAAGTCCTATTTTAAGAACCATTAAACAATAAACACTATATAGTAAGTCCTATTTTAATATGTAAATTTACCTTCAGAGATTCAGAGTTCATTTAATAATTGAAATCCAGCCATGGCAGCATTACAGCATAACTAAACCATTACAGTAAATTTGGCAGCATAATTGAAATTCTTAATATTATTAATTATATATAATATTATTATTAGCCTGGGATTCGGGGACGGGGTTGGGGGTCGGGGATCGGGGTCGGGGCGGGGAATGCCCTCCCCGTCCCCGCGGGGTCGGTTTTTCCCGTCGGGGGCGGGTTCAATTGTTATCCCTAAGCAAATTGTCTTTCAATATGATTGTGGTAGTGCTTATATTTTAAAAGGGGAAAAGAAAGTAAATAAATAAATAAATAACAAAAGAGAAATGGAAGATTGTAAATTTCTTGTGTAAAGTCCCTAGCGTGTCATTCCATAGGTTAAGGTGCGTCCTTTTCCTTCTTAATGTGCGTATATTTAAAGCTTAAGGTGCGTCGTTTTCCTTCTTAATGTGCGTATATTTAATGCTTAAGGTGCGTCACTTTTCTAGTTTAAGGTGCATCAGTCTAAAGCATTAGGTGTGTCGTTTTCCTTCTTAAGGATGCGTATATTTAAGGTGCATCACTTTTCTAGTTTAAGGTGCATCAGTTTAAACTTAAGGTGTGTTATTTTATATCTTAATGTGCGTGATTTTATAACTTAAGGTGCTTAATTTTATATCTTAAGGTGGGTAGTGTGAGACAATTATCATTTGCATGCATGTATCAACTCTGATCGAAAAATCGTCCAAGAACAATCCATCAGCAAGTATTTGATCACCCGTTTTCAAGCACACATCTCTCACTACAATATCAAAGATTGAAATTACTTGTATTCGCCCATCTCTCACTACCTCCTCTTACTGCTTTCATTAGATAGTTTCAGAAACTGTTGCTTTGTTTGTAGTTACTGATGGAAGAAACTACGAGAACCAAAAGGTTGAATTGCCCTATCTTACTCAATTCGCTTACCATTCCTGTATTTTTATTTTTGTATATTTTCTAATTTGTTTCTAAAATTGATATTAAGTTTTTATTTATTTGTATTATTTGGATCAAATTTATTTTTAATACGGAGTATATGCTTTCAAAAAAAAAAAGAATATATAATATATCCAGTGCATCGGATCAATTACTAGTTACTAGTAGGATTAAAAGCAAAACTTTCAATGCTATCATCATTATTATTGCATAAATATTTGAAAATGATAATATAGATCCACTACTTCCAATATAATAATAATAGTAATAGTAATAATAATAATAATAATAATAATAATAATAATAATAATAATAATAATTTATGATTTGGAAAACGTCAAATATACCAAAAATTACAAACTCTACCGAAGAAACACCAAAAGTTAGCGAAGAGACAAGTGACAGAAATAATTCGTCACACAATAGAAGGCCAAGTAGGTAACTGTACTGGTCATTCAATCAACCATACTTTTAATACACCATTTACAATACAACATATTTGGAAATAAAAATTTTATAAATAAAATGAAAAAAACTAGTATAATTTTATGATAACAATGGGGTAGTATCCAACCCTCATTCCCATGATAATTTTAAGCAATAATCATTCCAACTCACTTGGCATTCCAACAACATAAGAAAGCAAGCTGGTAATGAAAAGACTGGAAAATCTCAAAATATGCATAAATTCCAACAGCTAAAATTCATTTTTCAACTAGTGAAATGTAATAACATCAACTCAATTCCTCCAACACACCAACCCAAAAGTTCTTAAAAGCTCGACATCCATAAAAATACTAAAACACAAAAGGGTTACCCAACTATCACGAACATATAAAAGGAACCAATTAGACCAAGAAGACCCCCAAAAGAAAACCCAGCATATAGCAATAAGCTCTAGTTCAAAATTCAATCCTGGACAAGGCTAACCATGTATTTCTATATGCTTACACTGAAGCAGCTTTGAGGTGTCAGGGCCAAATTAAATGACTACATTAACCGCTGTTTGATCGTGCCTGAAAATAAGATCAAGAGAGTGAGTAAAATTATTGTTGCAAAATTCAAGAACATAAGCTGCTGAGATCAGTACACTCGGAGGAAATAATGCTAAGGAAAAACCAAAATCCAAGAGAATTTAATTAATGCCAATAAGTGGGACGCATCAGCAGCATTGTTATGCCCTAAATGAAATTTTTACAACTTGAAACCTTACCGGGCGCGGGGATGCTGACTTTGATCTTGATTTTGACCTCGATCTGGACCTTGACTTCGACAGAGGTCTGCATTTTTACAGAGAGAAACCATAGGTCATAAGAGTAGAGCATAATAAAGGCAGTAACTAGTGATTAAAAAACACAGCCATACCTAGATGACTTGACAGGTGATGCAGATCTAGACCGTGGCGGTGGTGATCTGGAAACAGATCTACCTGCTGCTGATTTGCTGTAGAATATAGAACAATATGAAGGGCCCAAAGCCAAGAAACAAATATTAAAATACAATAGAAAATCAGCAATTTGTATACCTCCTGCTCCTCCTAGGACTTCTGCTTCTGCTCCTGCTTCTGCTGTGGCTTCTGGATGGACTGCTCTTGTACTCTCTTACCTAGCCACAAATAAATAAATAAAATCAAAGTTATGAATATTCCAAATTGAAAAACACTCCTTAGTATACAATGTATATCTGTGTACAACCTATTAAATAGCCATCTACGGAGTAATAAAAAGAGGAGAATGATATTGTAAGTACCCGGATATAAGTGCTAGTCCAAGGATTTTTGAACACGCTATCATCAAGTTTCCTAATCTGAATGATATAATACACACATTAGGCACAAGATTGGAGCATCTAACTCACATCCAAAAAAAATTATAATTTAAGAGTTAACTTACAGCATATTTCATGTCATCATAATTCGTATAATCAACCAAGCCAAATGTCCCTAAATCCAGTGAAAAGTTTTAGAGCATAATAAAATGTCACAGTGCACTCAAGGCACTAAACATTTAAGCAAAAAAGCAGACTAATAGCACCATAAATATGCATACATATTAGCATATAAACAAATCCACTCAGTTATGACGATCGAAAATATACCTTCCCTATCAGTGGAAACCTCAGCAAAGCAAACATCACCAGCTTTGCGCATGTGATCCTGGAATACTTTCAGCATGTCATTGACATTTGTACATGCAACAAATCAAATACTAGTTCTCAAGAATTATATCTTACTTTCAAATCTTGCCAAGAAGCCGAAGAAGGAAGGCCAGTAACAATAACTGCACAAATCAAAGTAACAGATTGAGGCATATGTTACATATTAATCGATATCTAATACACATGCATACAGCACTTAAGTAAATGAAGATTTCAAGAAGATTCAATTAGAAAGTTATGGAGGTACCTCGATATTCAGAATGCTTAGAAATCCCATAACGTGATGCACTCCTGCCCCCACCACCATAGCCACCACGCCGATCAACTGAAGATGATGGCCCCCTACCACCATGAGCAAGCTCAACCTATAATAAGTTGCAGGAGAAATATACCATCATGAGACGTATGTACAAGTCAACTGGAGAGTTTATAAACATCAAGTATCTCAAGAGTTCTTACCCTCAGTCGACAACCATCAAAGTTGTAGCCATCTCTACCCCTGATGGCATCTTCTGCATCTCTAGAATTTTCAAACTTAACACATTGAAACCCAAAAAAAAAGTCAAATTATATAAATAACGGTCAAAGTATTAAAAAAAACAAAATAACTTAGGTTCTCAGGTAAGCATTATCACATATATGCACAAGTAAAACTTTAACTACCTCAACAAAACAATAGCCCGGGGGACGAGGTGGAATCTTCAATTCAATATCCTGAATACGTCCATACTGTCCAACAAAAGGGTTGTAGAAGATAAGAAAGCAGTATCAAAAACACCCAATGAGAGAATAAGCAGCATTAAAGAATACCTCACAGGCAATTATAGTTACCATTAGGCATTTGAACAATAAATTCAATATAAATAAGAATAACTTAAAATAGATCAAGACAAGTATTCAAATCAAACCTTATAGAACAAATCTTCAATTTCCCATTCTCTGATGTCCAGGGGAAGGTTTCCCACATAGATTGTCCGAGAGAAACGGCCACTCATTCTAAAGTACAACAAAGGAGTATCAATTATCACTGTTGCAAGAATACTGTACATAAACAATATCTATAAATAAAACAAAGTCTTGAACAGAAGACTCTTGAGAAAGACTAATAAAGTGGTACAATCAAATGCATTTTTATAATTTTGTATTTGATTTCAGTTCAAGGAAAAACAAAAATATACTGAGCAAACCAAGAGAGCAATCCTTGAGGTGAGCAGTGCTCCACAAGCTCCATTCTCATATGCTCCAAAGCTCAATATATATTTTTTTTGAACTAAAATTTGGTCTCCTCATCCTGTCTAAAATTTTTGCAGATGATACTCTTCAGAGAGTGAGCAACAACATCCAAGTACACATAAATACCCAAAACTCCACCCTGAATTCTCCCACTCCCCATACACATCCCTATGTATGATTCCAAAGCTCATTTTTGTCCAAGCGCTTGAAATCTATCATAAACAAAGCATCGGTCATGATAAGAGGTAAGGTTGCCACATACTAATGCATTTACCTTATCAGATTTCTTTTTGACTTCTTAACTGAAGAAAATTATCCCAGAGTATTAGAAATATTTATATATGTACTGCAGACAATTTAGTAAACATCATGTTATCATTAGAATTAGTGTGGTCATGTGGTGTCATTCTCCTCAACCTTTGGAAAAAAAAAATAACAAATAAAAGCAAGCATGTACCTCTCCATTATTCTAAGATTTCTATAAGTAAAATCTTCAGAGTAGACAACTATCAACATTAATGTGCCTCAACCCTACTACTGCCAAAAGTATCTCCCAAATTCATGAATTACTCTATCAAACACAACCATTTGTTGTTTCCTTAGATAACACAAATATAAGTACAACCGTTACCACATCTTAGTAGCTCCGCTGATAGCTAGAATTCAAGCACAATACTCTTAAATCTAATTTTTGACAACATATTTAGGATGCCCAAAAACAGGGAAAAAAAAAAAAAAATCTTAACAAAAAATTTCAGCTTTCTCTGTGAAAGCAGATACGCAAGGCACGTAACCCATTAAATCAAACTCACAAAAAAAAATTATAATTATAATAATTTTCAGAAAAACAGCAAGACGGGAGACCTGAAAAAAATTTTCCAAATTATCAACATGGACAACAATTAGACAAATAATCGAGATAAGAGAGTGCAGAAAACCCTGAATGGCTGAATGAGTCAGAGCGGTTCGATACGCTTGGGCTATAAACTCGGCGACTCCTGGATCCACGAATTAGGGTTTCTAAATAGTGCAACCGAAAGGTAAGAACAAACTCAGAATCATACCTGAGGTTCAATTAGGATCGGAGGAGAATCTGATAATAGGAGGAAGACGAAGGGTAAGCGTGTCCGTCTTCGGAGCTCCGATTTCTTGGACCTCGTTATCGGGTTTTCTCTTTGCTTCGACGAGTCTCGCTGTTAAGATGCAGCTTTGGATGAATCTAGATTCTAGGTTACTTACTTCAGTTAGTCTTCCGGAGAAAATAATTCCAATTGCCCCCTCCACCTTTTCATAATCACGAACAAGTCCATGTCTATTCAAAATACAAATAGTTAATTACCAAAATGGACCTTTAACTATAGCGAAATTACCAATTTAATCATTAACTATTTTCTTGACCAATTAAGTCCCTCAACTTTAAAAATCTTAACCAATTTGGTTCTCCGTTAGTTTTCCTGTTAGACTTCTGTTAACTTGAGACCAAATTGGTAATTTTGCTATAGTCAATGATCATTTCAATAATTAACTTTAGGTGTGGACAATTCGGTTCGGTTTTCCCAAATTGAACCTTACCGAACAACCGAACAAACGAATAGTAATAAATTCTTGTATACCGAACGCTTCGGTTAAAAACTGAAAGGAAATATCGTTTAATTTTATTTAAAATATAATAACAATAATAATAATAATAATAATAATAATAATAATAATAATAATAATAATAATAATAATAATAATAATATAGAAGTAAATCCAAGTCCCATAATGTCTCCTTTATTGTTCAGCTCATATTCTCATGGATATCTCTCATATAAATTCAAAGTCTAATATATAACAAAGCCAACTGATATTTACTATTTTATTATAAAACATTTACGAGAGATACCAGTGACAATATGAGCTGAACAGCAGAACAAACAACATGAGACTTGGAGCTCCAGCAATGATCCTCCAACTATTATGATTTTTCAAATTAATTCTCGACTTTTAATTTGGACATCTTAGGTCCCTTGACTTTTAATTTCTTTCCAATAGTGATCCTTTCATCAATATAAGGTTAATTGGAAGTAACATGTATTACATAGAATATTGAGAAAAATTAAAGTGTTACTTTTATCCATATACATAATACGTTTCAATTATAAAATAAGTACTTTTAATTTTTATTTTTTTTAAAAAAAAAGTTTAACTTCGTTGTATAAAAATGCACGACATGTGAGATACTGATCAATAGCAACTTCATCAGTTTCATCGTTTCCATCATAACACAGGTTTTCACACTCCATATTAATAATAGTTTCTGAAAAATATAATAATAAAATATGAACTTAGAAATCCTAGATTTTATTAAAAATTGATATTACTTTTATATTATTGAAGTATTATTCCCCAAAATTCTAAAACTTATAGAGATGATCACAGGAAGAATGAGTTAATACCTCCAATGGTCTTCCGAATATTAGGGGTTTACTAGTTGTGGTCCACCGAGTTTTAAATGACTTCCAATGGTCATCAATGTTTTAAAAAATAACCACCCATAGTCCTAATTCTTAAAATAACCTGAGTTTAAAATGACCACGAGATGTCGAGACGTCCTAAAAGGTGGTTATTTTATGAAACAAGGAGGACCATTGGAGGTCATTTAAAACTCGAAGGACCACAGCTGGTAAATCCCTAATACTCGGAGGACAATTAGAAGTATTAACTCCAGGAAGAATTCCTGGATAGAGATGATGGTTTTACATTGATAGAAATAATTTATATGTAGAGAATTAGGGATTTGAATGAGAGAAATTCTCATTAACCGAGTTGCAATACTTACCGAAGTTGGAGGCAGCGGCAGAAATGGAGGCGGAGGATATGGGAAGAGGCGGAGAGCTTGAGGGAAAGAGATGGGAGGAGACGGATAGCGATAAGGTGAGCGACAGAGATAGAAGGGGGGAGAAATCAGCGTGAGCGAATGAGATGGGAAAATCAATCTTGTGGTAGAGAGAGAGAGAGAGAGAGAGAGAGAGAGAGGAGGGAGGATGGCGTGAGGTGCACATGTTGACTCATATAATAAAAGATCCGACGCGGCGGTGGAGGCGGAGAGTATATTCCCCGTCCCCGTCCCCGACGGGGAATTAAAAATATTCCCCATCCCCATCCCCACGGAGAATTAGGCGGGGACGGCGATTCCCCATTTCCCGTCAACTCCGATCCTAGTCAAAATGTTAAATAATTTTAATTTTTAATAATAAAAAATTTAAAATTCTAAGTCCTAGTTTCAAAAACTAAAATACTAAATTTACATATATATATATATATATATATATATATATATATATATATATATATATATATATATATATATATATATATATGTGTGTGTGTGTGTGTGTGTGTGTGTGTGTGTGTGTGTGTGTGTGTGTGTGTGTGTGTGTGTGTGTGTGTGTGTGTGTGTGTGTGTTAGAATTTTTAGTTTGAAATGACATTTTGAGTGACTATTTTGTGGTACAAATATATGTGGGATCCACTTTCGATTTGGATCGGGTTAAAGTAGATTCGGGTTCTTCGTAGTGAGACGAAGAATTTGACATAGTGTACGCTCAAAATGGGTAATAGGTGAATGAGAAATTGATTCTTAAAGTGATACTATTTGAGAGAAGTCAAAAACTTAAGTTTAGATGCTAATTAAAAATTAGCATTTTAATATCTTTCGTTAAGCTTAAGTGTAATTAAGCTTTGGTTGCTTAATTAGTGAATTGGGATTTTAGCACATTTTGTGCTTTGCTTCTATTGCATGGACGAAAGTTGTGCACGAATCAAGAGTGCTTAAGCTTTGGATTCCAAAGCAGCTCATTTCGTGTTGTGGATTCGGTGTGCACGAGTCAATGCTATATGCATTGATTCGTGCTGCACTGTTTCGATGCTTGCGGACCACTCGGGTGTGGTTTCCGGTCCCAATTTGTTAAACCTTCGGGTTTGTACAGACTTCTCGGTCACTCAGATATTTTTGAAACGGGTCGTTATGGTCGGTACGAATTAATCAGATATTAAGTTCGTGACCGTTGATATTCTTTCGATAATAAGTACGACCGTTTCAAACGTTATAATCTAATTATTAAATTGGATTTATGTTGGTTTAATGTGCTATTTAGTGGGATACTAACTCTTCTCTCCCCTATAAAAACCTATGTGTTGGGTAGAATGTTTTGTCGAATTTTGAACTTGCAAAATCATTTTTTTTTCTCTCATCTTCTCTCAAAAGTTGTTTCTTACAAAGAGATTCTACCAACACTTCTGTAAAACATCGGAGTGCTCAACTTGTGTTCTAGTTCGCCAAGCTTTGGGTTGGAGTGCTCGAACGCCAAAGTCGTAGTCCGTTTTATCCTAGGAGACTGAGGCCACAACGATCCTAGCACCCTCGGGAGTGCTCAACTTGTGTTCTAGTTCGCCGGGCTTTGGGTTGGAGTGCTCGAACGCCAAAGTCGTAGTCCGTTTTATCCTGGGAGACTGACGCCACAACGATCCTAGCACCCTCGGGAGGTGGCGAATCGGTTTTAAGGAGAGTGTGTGTACACACGACTCGGGCTTCCTCTGCTTCTTCTTTCTTCTCGTTGGGTTAAAACCTCAGGTTAGAAACCCGTCTCGTGTTTTATTTTGTTCTTGTTTTCGGACCAAGTGATGGGATTAATCTCGGAAAGATTAAATCCTTGTACTAGTTTCGTACTAGTTGTGGTGGGATTAATTTCGTGGAAATTAAGTCCCGTGTACTAGTTGTGGTGGGATTATTTTGATAAAATAAATCCCTATTTGGTTAATATATATACATTGTATATATATGTAATTTTTGTTTCGTACCAAAATTGGTTGGAATGAATTTTCTATAAATTAAATTCCATCTTTCGGGGCAAATATATATTCTATATATTTTTTGTGTATCGATTTATTCACCATTTCCAACAATCTTAAAATCGATTTTTTTTTTTTTTGTGATTAAATCGATGGATTCCACGAGTGGTGGAGCCGTGAATGTTGCTCGTGTTGCACATTCAAATGGTCGGATCGGCAACGTAGTTGCACTTTCCGAAACCTCGGTGAACTTTGGTTCGAAGACCGGTGATGGCATCAAAGGGTATATCCCTACGATGAAGGTACATGGGATGGTACCTTGTGGATTGGTCGAAAGACGATGGAAATTCAAGATGTTGAATTTCGAAGGGTTGCAACTTAAAATGTTGTACAACCTAATGATTCTCGGCATGTCATGGTTCTTGACCGAGATGGTTCCTAGTGAAAAGGAACATGAGTCTAACACTCAAACCGTTAGCATAGTGAGGATTTGGAAATACTTGGTTTTCCTATGCCTAAACTATGTTTTAAACGGTTTGTGTGACTCGTTGTACAGTGTATACTGTAGATCAGAAATAGCTAACGGGCTGTGGGAATCTTTGGACCTGAAGTGTAATAGTGATGACGCTAAGACAAAAATGTTTGTCGTTAGCCGATTACTTGAATACAAGATGGTGGATTCCAGGATCGTCCTAAGTCAAGTAGACGAAGGAATGATCGTGAGTGAAGCCTTTCAAGTGGAATCTGGTATCCATTTGTTGCCTTTGGGCAGAAAGGACTTCAAG